GGTTTTCTGCTTTGGGTCCTGGTCCCTTGACTTCTAGCATTGCATTTCATTGTGTGCTCCATCGGGAGGGTTCAAGAGATCAACAGCAAATAATGTCACCTTGAATTAACAATTTTCACCATGCTTTTTCGTAGTATCTCTTTGTGTTTCAGCCTGGATGCAAACGGTGGTTGAGGTGAGGTCTGATGCACTTAGCTGGACGCAGGCAGTGAGCAGCCAGAAGCTCCAGAAGCTGCTGAGGAGCCTGAACTGTAGCAGCAACCTCTGGGCACTGCAGTCAGCAGAAGCCATCGATTGACTCACTGCTCAGAAAGGAGTGACTGACCCCAACTGCAGTCTGCCCGGGGCAGTTTTCTTCTCCCACCTCTTTCCAGCTGGAAGAGTCTGATCAAATAAACTGAGGATCAGGAAACAGCCTTGGAAGCAGACAAGCAGACTAACCAGGTCTGAGTTGAGTGCTCAGTTGCAGGGATGAGCGTGACTTATGGTGAGAGGTAATAAGGGAATGTTGCATTTTCTTTTTTTCTGTACCAATATCTGTAATACGCATCAGAAATAGTTTTTCCTTTTACCCATTGTGAGTTTACACGAACTGTCATACTTTTAATAGGCAATTTTTTCTGGTGAGTTTAAAATTAGTTTACTATGAACAAACCATGTCAGATTAAGGCCATCTTGGGACAAAGTTCTTCCAAGAGGCTGGTTAGCACTTAGACCAAATTACAGAATCAGAACCAGAAATGGATTTAGAAGATAGAAATAGAAATGGATTGCAGCCTTGAGTTGCTGAAATTAACTACAAAATGTGTATGGGGTAAATTAGGGCCCTCTCGTTGTCCCTCTTAGATTACTTTTTGCTACTTTGATCCAGGTAAAGAGCATGCCTTGCCGATTGCTCTGTAGAAGAAGAGCAGCAGGCCTGGCATTAAATCGGCTGCCCAGGAAATGAATTACTTCTTCTCTTGCTGGCTTCTCTGGCAGAAATAATAAAAGATGTCTCTGGTGAAGCCAAAAAAACTTGTATTTTAACCACAGGAAACCTAAACCATAAGGACAATCAGTCAAGCTCCTCCTGAGACAGTAACCTGAGATACTAACAAATTGTAGTAGCTTCAACTTTTCAAATTTTCCAAATTTTATCTACTGACAGTCCAAATTATCCTAGAAAGTCCTCTTCCACAAAGTAAAATAAACAAATTATAATACTACGTATGTAACAATAATAAAAAAAAAAGTAAAAATACGTGTATGTATGTATGTATGAATTCATCAGGAGTTCTGAGTGAATGTCTGAGCTGGTTTCTTTTCTTGGATTTCATGATTTTCAGAGCTCAGTCTCACAATTGTTTTAAGGTGATCTAATTGCAGGCTTCTTCTGAAAGACTGCAGCCTTCGCATCTGCAATGCTCTTCTCAAGTCTTTCCTTTCATTTTCTAGGATCTATTCTTATTTCACAGATGATAATTTTTATTTAAATTCCAGTCTCATTTCTCCTCCCTCCTTTTGTTGAAGAGATTTTGTTGTTTAGTTATTATAGCAGAGAGAAACAATTTCACAATGAATTGGTTTATATCCTCTTGTATTCATGTTTTTGGTACATATATTTGCCTTCCGTTAGAAATGGTTAAACCTATGTGGGTCCTACATAACATGAGCTGCATCCTCTGATTTAGTTGTAATACATGCATTTTTACGTTGTCAGAGTTTTACTGTCAGTTGTTGCACAAGCTGGTATTCTGGTTCTTGGCTTTCCATCCGCACTCTGCTGGTGTTACAGATTCAGGATTGTTGGCATAAAATATCTAGCTGATATGATTTCATGCTATGTTCTCCAATATTGCTACTTTTAGGAAGGAGGAAAAAAGAAGCCAGCATTGTGGAAGCAAAATAGTTACTGTCTCTCTCCTGGTTTTGCTGGCATAGAATCAGTTTTCTGTCCAGAAAAGCTACATTTCTAAGGTAAGCTGCATTTTTAAGAAGACTGCAGCACCAATTCTGTGAGAACAAAGTTGATAAGACACTTTGCTTTAGTTTGTAGCCAGCCATGGTATGTAGGTGTCCATAGTGATCAAGGACTTTTCAGCTTGTTTTTGCTACTGACCCAGAAGTCCAAGAACTTGGAGAAAGCATGGCCAGGGTGATTGACACCTAAACTGGGAAATGGGTATTCCATGTAACATCATGCTCACCATAAATTGAAAAGTTTGCTGGGGATGGGCTCTCTTTCTCAATGGTCACTGTCCCTGGAGGGTCTCACCCATCTTTCTGCTCCCAAGGCCTGCTCTCTCCCTCTGCTGAGATTGCGGTTTGAGAATTCTCCTGCTCCGGGATTGCTAGCTGGGAACAGGCTGGACATTGGTCAGAGGCGATGAGCAGTTACACCGTACATCACTTGTCTGTATAGATGATGATGATGATTATCATTATTCATGTTATTTTATTTTATTTTATGTCAATTATTAGATAGTTCTTTTCTCAACCCACAGGTCTTCCTTCTTTTTCCCAATTCCCCTCCTGGAGTGGGTAATAATACAGCTGGCTGTTGTTCAGCCCTGGGTACTGGCTAAAAGTAGGCAGTCTCATAGGCCTCTGCAGGTCTCCCTAATTAAGACACATTTGCAGCTAATGGTCTTGCCAGCCAGCAAGATTTAATTACAAAGGAGTCGAATATTTGTAAAGTGATGTCTAGAGCCTCCTTATCCGAAGGATTTAAATCACTGTTGTTATCCACCATATCTGCTTATCTGACAGAGTTTTGATGAAGAAAGAGCTGTATAACCTGCAGGTGTATCTGTAACTGTCCTGTTTGTGCAGAGCTCCTGTCAGCAGGGACAGTCACTCTGCTGTTCTGTGTTCTCTCCTGTAGTGACAGTAACAAGCTGCTTCTGTTTTGAACTGATCTAAATTGTATTCTGATAAAAGTATCAAAACTTTTCTTCCAGCATATCCAACCAAATTAAGACCAGCCTAGGACCATGGAGCTAAGGCTCTTCTCAATATTATTAACATGCACTGTTACCCAACAATAAAGGGGTTAAAGTTTTTGTGTAAGAGTTTCACGAAGGGTTCAGTCAGCAGTGGGTGATTTACGCATACCTAAAGAAACTAACAAGATGACCATCCTTGAAGCTGTCAGGGGTGATTAGATGGGAGACTCTGTATCAAGAACTGTCTGCCCTTGAAGGGAACATCCCAGAAAATGTGTAAACTTTGTTATCGTGTTTTTCTGAGCTGTGAACATGCAGTGACTTGGGGAAGAGGTAACTCCAGCAGGGGGAAATTGTGACCACCAACTCACGGACCACCTGCCCTAAACATACCCCAGACCCAAAAGAAAGGGGTGGAGGAAGAGGAGTGAGCATGTGAAGTAATTTACATGTAAAGCAAGGGAAAATGAACCAATTGTTTAAGAATATGTAAACATGTTATGAATTATGCATGATTGCAGTGTATAACTAATTTTCTGCCCAGAAGCTGGGTGTGCACGCTAGGAGGAGATATCCCCCGTGCACCCAGCACTGCAATAAAGAATACCTGCTTTCTAAACTCCAAAATGAGTCTTGGAAAGTTCAGTTTCCTTTTCAGGTATCAGGTCTGGCACGTCATGTGGGACTCTCTGTTCGGCTGCAGGACCCGCTGAGAACAGGACTCCCTTGGGTGCCCCGGGGATTTCTCCGGAGGGACTCCTCGCCTCAATCGGATCACTGCGGGAACAGACAAGGACCATCTTACAAAAGGTATTCTTTTTGGGTTGGGGACTGGTCCATTAGGGTAGCTCTCCATAAGCCGTAAGGTGAGACTTGCGCAGGACAGCGTATACCGGGCAACCAGCGCCTTAAGGGTACACTTTGGTTATTTAAGTGACTACAGTTGTGGCTTCCAGACCCACCAGAAACCATCTGGAAGCTGAAATATTAAAGATTGAATCCTATGTGATTGTTTGTGTGATTCTGAGAGTTGTATTAATTGTTTGCATGGTTGGATATTTTTGTGGTTGTAAAGCTTGTTTTCATCGTGTTCGTGTGTGAGCGACTGAGATGCACTTATAGTATGAAGTGAGTGCGGAGTCTTGATCCGTGGTTCTGTCCTCCCACGAGAGAAACAGCTGAGGTAGACAAAGCCATTGAAAAATAAGAGTGAACAAGTTATTTTAATGATAATTAGTTATATCTAGGAGGTGTGGTTTTACTTTTAGTCGTTTGTTTGGTAACAACAGGATTGGGATAATAATAATCCAGTAAATAATGGGTAACCAACAGAGCAGGGAAATTTTAAAAAAGAGTCCGTTAGGATGTGTCCTGGCCCACTGGAAAGATATTGGGGGTCCCCTGGGAGGAAATGTAAATAAGAAAACTTTAGTTAAATACTGTAACCAGTGGTGGCCGTTATATAAATTGGAAGATGGGGAAAAATGGCCGAATAATGGAACTTTGAATTATAATACTCTATTGCAATTGATGCTGCTTCTCAGAAGAAATGAAAAATGGGATGAGGTGGTATATGCTGATATGTTTTTCACTTTAAGAAATCATCCTGAGTGGCAAAAGGAATGCGGTATAAATTTAGCCCCGCGGGACCCCCTTGTTTTGGCATTAGAGAAAGATAAAAAGAAGGAACAAGGAAAGCCGAAGCGATGTTGTTCAGCATGTAGTATTGGAGAAAGATGTTTGAAAGCAAAAGACCGGGAAGGTGAGGAAAGGATTGAAGATTATATATCACTGCCTCCTGCATTACCCATGGGATTTCCAGGTGGGAACGATGGGAACAGTAACTCAGGAGGAGGGGCAGTGGGGGCATTAACACCAACATCACCTCCTGCATTAACACCAACATCACCTCCTGCATCAACACCAACACCACCTCCTGATGGGAACAATGGGAATGATAACTCAGGAGGAGGGGCAGGGGGGGGATCAGCCCCAATTACTGCCCGAACGTGTAGTGAAACAGGACCAATTCTCCAGGCACCACTTAGAGAAGCTATGGGACCGGTAGGACCGATGAGAATTAGAGTCCCTTTTAATATGGGAGATTTGGATGCCTGGAGGAAAGTGGTTAAAGATTATAGAGAAGATCCATTAGGAATTGCCAAACGATTTGAATTAATAGTTAAAAATCAAGACCCAGACTGGAAAGATATAGACATAATGTTAGATGCAATGACTGAAACTGAGAAAGAGTTAATTGTAAGAACAGCCCGAACTCATGTGCAGGCTCAAATTATAGCTGGGACGCTGGCAGGGGGAGTCGATCAGCATGTTCCCCTGACTGACCCGCATTGGGATCCGAACGATAAGACAGACTATCGCACATTAAAGCGATATCAAAATTGGATAAAATTTGGGTTGGAGAATGCGATCCCGAAGGCTGTAAATTGGTCAGCACTCTATGCTGTAAAGCAAGGGCAAACCGAAACCCCCACGGAATTCTTAGGCAGATTACAACAGGCAATGCGTAAATATACCACCTTAGACCCCTCATCTGATGTAGGGCAGCAACAATTGGTATCTTTGTTTTTGGATCAGTCATCGGAAGCTATTAGAAGAAATCTCCAAAGACTAAAAGAGCCTGAAGTTCGAGATTTGGAGAAGTTAATTGAAGAAGCCTGGAGGGTGTACAGGAACAGAGAAAGCAATGCAAGGAGAAAATTAGGTAGAACAATAGCCACAGCAACAATCGTGGCATTAGAGCAACGAAGTGCAGGAGCCCAGGGACCCCCTGGAGGCAGAGGCAGAGGCAGAGGAGGGCCTCCTCGGGGATCTCAAGGGGGGTTCCAAACAACATTACAATCAGACCAGTGTGCCTACTGTGGAAAACGAGGGCATTGGAGAAAGGAATGCCCTAAATTGAAGCCTGAAGTGGTTGCTGAAGCTAAATGGTGAGGACCTGGGGAATCTACCCTGGCAGATCCACTGGTTAAATTAAAGCTAGAGCACCATAATGAGGAAGTAGAATTTTTAATAGATACGGGTGCCTTATATTCTATATTAAATCAAGAACTAATACCTGTAGATCATGATTTCGTGACTGTAATAGGAGCTAGTGGCCAGCAGAAAAAGGCTTTCTTTCTACAGCCAATTAAATTTCAGATTGGAAAACAAATAGGGATTCACCAATTCCTTTATTTACCAGAATCTCCGAAACCTTTACTTGGATGGGACCTATCAGAGCAATTGGAGGCACAAATAATTTTCGAAAAGGGTAAAGTAGCATTCAAAGTAAAAGATGATCGATTAATCGAAGTCTTAAGTTTGGCTATGATCCAAATTGAAAAACAAACTGAAGGTACCTCAGAGATTGAAGAAATCCTAGATCAAGTGTATCCAGGGGTATGGACTTCCGAGATTCCAGGGAAAGCAAAGAACGCTGTACCTAAAAAGTGGAAGTAAAACCTGGTTCTGGTACGGTTAGGATAAAACAATATCCTTTAAGGTTGGAAGACCGAAGGGGCATAAAAGAAACAGCTGAAAAATTCCAAGAGTTTGGGTTACTGGTTGAATGTGAATCAGAATATAATACTCCAATTTTACCAGTAAAGAAACCGGATGGGAAATATAGAATAGTACAAGATTTAAGGGCAGTAAACAGAATTGTGGAGGATCTGTATCCACTAGTAGCAAACCTGTACACTTTGTTAACCAGCCTGAAAGAAACATATGAATGGTTCACAGTTCTGGATTTAAAGGATGCATTCTTTTGCCTCACCTTGGCCCCTGAAAGCCGTAATCTATTTGCTTTGGAATGGGAAAACCCCAATTCAGGACGTAAAACTCAACTCACTTGGACAGTGTTACCCCAAGGATTTAAAAATAGCCCTACAATTTTTGGAGACCAATTAGCAAGGGAATTGGAACTTTGGGAAAGGCCTCCAGGCAATGGCATTCTTTTACAATATGTGGATGACATTTTGATAGCTACAGAAAAGAGAGAAGAGTGTAAAGAATGGACTGTGAGTTTATTAAACTTCCTTGGATTAAGTGGTTATCGAGTTTCATTACAGAAAGCCCAAATCCTGCAGAAGGAAGTGGTCTACTTGGGATACCTGATTTCCAAAGGACAACGACAGCTCGGAAATGAAAGGAAAGAGGCCATCTGCAAGACTCCAGAACCAACTACGGTAAAGGAACTTTGAACTTTTCTAGGAACAACAGGTTGGTGTCACTTATGGATTTATAATGATGGACTCTTAGTGAAACCTTTATATGAATTACAAAAAGACAATCAGAAACAATTCATCTGGACTGATGAGGCTAAAAGAGCATTCAAATAATTAAAATTAGAACTGATGAGAGCCTCTCCTTTGGGCTTGCCAGATGTGACTAAACTTTTTTGGCTGTTTGCATATGAAAACCAGGAGTAGCCCTGGGAATTTTAGCCCAAAGGCTGGGACCCTACAAGCGAGCAGTAGCATATTTTTCCAAACAACTGGACGCAGTCAGCAAAGGATGGCCAGGATGCCTCCGGGCAGTGGCGGCTGTCGTCATAATCATTCAAGAGGCTCACAAGTTTAGCCTGGGGCAGAAAAGGATCGTTTATACTTCCCACGCGGTAATTTCTGTTTTAGAACAGGAAGGCGGACATTGGTTATCGCCGTCAAGATTTTTAAAATATCAGGCAGCCCTGATGGAGCAGGATGATGTGGAAATTGCTACATCTACAATATCTAACCCTGCCTCTTTCCTGAGTGATAAACAGGAAACTGACCCCATCGTACATGAATGCAAAGAGACAACTGAAACTGTCTATGCAAGTGGACCGGACCTGAAAGAAGAACAGAAGAGGCCGATCATACATGGTATACGAATGGGAGCAGCTTTGTGAAGAATGGAGTCCGAGTGGCTGGGGATGCGGCAACAACAACAGATCAGGGAATAGAAGCAAGATCTCTCCCAAAAGGTACGTCGGCACGGAGGGCAGAGATAATTGCCTTGGTGAGAGCACTGGAGCTTGCTGAAGGACTGCAAGTAAATACATGGACAGATTCAAAGTCTGCCTTTGGTGTAGTAAATGGTCATGGAGTGATCTGGAAAGAATGAGGACATTTAACCACACAAGCAAAAGGTATTAAACATGCCGATATGATATTGCAACTTTTAGAAGCAGTTCAACTTCTGACAGCTGTGGCCATCATGAATTGTAAAGGACATCAAAAAGGTGACACTGACAAGGAGGTGGGTAACGAATTGGCTGATCATAAGGAAAGGCAAGCAGCGGAACAAGGTGAGGTGTTAAGTTTGATCCCTGAAAAATCTTTATCACTACCTGAAAAGGTAGAATATGATGAAAAAGATAAAAATATTATCAAAGATTTAAAAGCTAAGGTTAATCCATCAGGATGAGCAACAGTAGAGGACAATCAAATAATAGTTACCTTTAGAATACTATGGATGTTGATAAAAACTGAGCATGGCAAAACTCATTGGGGAACAGAAGATTTATACAACTCTCTCTCTGAGCAAATAATAGCCTGAAGTTTATTTCAAACTGTGAAAAATGTGGTTAGGAGACGTGAAACCTGTTTAAAGAATACTACAAAGGTAGAGAACCGGGTAAAGTCTGGAAACATTGGCAAAGGATGTATTCCAGGCCAAAACTGGCAAATAGACTTCTCGGAATTGCCTAGAAAAGGCGGGTATAGATATCTGTTAGTATTAACAGATACCTATTCCGAATGGCCTGAAGCATTTCCCTGTCGGACTAACAAAGCCTGAGAAGCGACGAAAGTTTTGTTAAGAGAAATCATCCCTCGGTTTGGAATCCCTGAAGTAATCTTTTCAGGCAGAGGGCCGCACTCTGTATCGCAAGTAGTACAATTTGTTAGTAAATCTTTAGAAATGGACTGGAAATTGCATACACCTTATCACCCCCAAGCAAGCGGGCAGGTGGAGAAAATGACTCACCTTAATAAAAACACAACTAAGCAAAATTTGTCAAGAAACCAACTTGAGATGGGATCAGGCCCTTCCAATTGCCTTATTAAGGCTTTGAACTAAACCAAGAGCCAAAGAAAAATTGAGTCCCTTTGAAATCTTATACGGGAAACCATTTCAAACTAGGTATCAAGGGCAAGATCTCAGTCAAGTTGGAGAATTGGGCTTACAACACTATCTGATAGATATTGTTAGGAAAACAATTGGAAGAAGTAAACAAAGTATTGATGTCTATCAGGACACAGGGATTAGATTGTCCAGTGCATGCATTCAAACCTGGAGACTGGGTTTATGTTAAAAACATTTCAGGTCACCCCCTTGAGGAAGAGTGGAATGGACCATTCCAGATATTGTTGACAACCTACACGGTGATCGAGATTGGAGAACAACCTGGTTGGATTCATTTCTCCCAGGTGAAGAAAGCACCTGAGGAACAATGGACAGCAGAAGCCACAGGACCAACTACAATAAGACTGACCCGGTGTTAATCGTCGCAATTCTGATAAGTATGATTGAAATGGTAAACCCTTCCACTCTCAGTTGGCCATGGTTTCATGCCTACCTTAAATCTACAGGAAGTATGGGACCATCCTTCAAACAATTGAACTTAAATTTAGCTACTGTAGTTATGCACGAACTCAGAACATGAGTGAGGCTGGGACAGGGACAATGAGGCTCCCCTCTTGATGGGAACAACCGGAGAAGGGATCCAAATAGGTTGCTGAATGATCAATGGGTCCATCCATGAGAAGGCAACCCAAATTACTGTAGAAGGAACCAATAATTCTGTGCTCACAAAGAATCTTTGTGCCCTCGAAAAGGAAAAACTGGAATGCTGGAGCACTTTTACATTAACCCAGCCTGTCTTTATAATCTGCCTCTGGAATACCCAGAAAGGTGACATGGCACTCACATTTAAATTTAAAATGGGCATTATTGAACCAGTGACAACAATCACTCCCAGCCCTAACACAACAACAAGTCCACCTAGCACAATGCCACCTATGCCAAATACTCTATTTTTAAAATTGGACCCTACATAATTCAGAATATGGGTCAACAGCAGATGTTGTTTAACCCATCACAGTCCCTCAGACAAATTGAATTGTCAATGCAAAGTAATATGTCTACTATCCAACCAGCTTGTTCACCATTTCTGAAAACCTCTTACATAGGGTGGACAACATGGCTACATAGATGAACTGTCTTCCCCGAAAAAAGAATAAAGAGGGATGTTACCAGAATCCTGGGAACAGGAATGGGAGTTCTAAATAATATAGACTCTGATGTCTTAATGAATAAGTTAGTTACAATAACTAGTGACCTAAACAACTTGGAACATCCTTTATGGTCTTCTCTTTTAGCTCTGGGAAGTGAACAGTGGCTTTTATCATGTACATTACCTCAGTGGGAGAACATAAAGGAAGAAGACCATCAATTCATTATAGATGCACTTGGTGCAGCCCAAAACAACGTCTCTTTAGTTCTCAGCTGCATCCAAGCTCAATTGTGGATCCAATCCACAACAGCTATGATTATGAAGGAAGGTGAAGAGGCACTTTATCCCATGAAATTCAGAAAGTGATTTGAGACAAGGCAAATAATTTTGAAAAAAGATTCTAATCTTGGTGGCAGCTAGTTAATTTTACTTATGATCCCAAAAACGATATGGTCACAGCCTTTGTGTTAACTGTACACAATGCTTCGGTATACACCATACACCCAATCGTTGCATTAGGATTGAATCACAGTGAAACACGCTATATCCCTTGGAACATAGAGTATGGGCATGAAAGAGTGAGAATAAATGGCAAACGATTGACACTGGCACATGTGTTGTGCAAGGGCAACAAGGATTCATTTGTGAAAGCAATACCATCAGAGCTCAAGACATTTGTCTTGACACTGAACAGAACATTTGTCATTTTGAGATACATCCTGACAAAAACCCTAAAACTGTACTTGTACATATAGGTAATGGATGTGTTTGCATGAGAACTTCCTGTAATTCCATTTTAGTAGATAATGTTACTAGAAATATGAATGATCACTCTAACCTTTGTATCTGTAGTTTTGTAACTATCACAGGATGTGATTTAACTTATTTACCTCCCATCACATCTTATCAATTATTGAAATCTAACTACACGTTGTATCATGACCTGCTGCCCACCCCTATTGGAACGAACTCAGCGCTGCTGAAAAGACTGGTGCGACATGAAGACTTAAGACGACTGCTGAAGCAAGCCTGAGAAAATGGACAAAAAACTCTGATAACTGTCCATCACGACGCTGAAAAAATACACCACATCCTGGAACGAGTGAAAAAAGATGGAGAACATAATTGGTGGGATATTTTTGTAGAATATTCACCATCAGCAACTAGAGTGTTGAACTTATTAATACATCCTTTGCTTGTAGTTCTAGTAGCAGTAACAATACTAACAATTGTAAACTTTATGTTCTGGTACCAATTAACCAAATTGACGAGAAGAGTTTGGGGGCTACTCACAGTTCTTAAATATGAACAATATGAACTTTTGTGAAAGAATTCACAAGGATAAAGAAAAGGGGGGAATTGTTACTCAACAATAAAGGGGTTAAAGTTTTTGTGTAAGAGTTTCATGAAGGGTTTAGCCTGCCCTGGGTGATTTAGGCATGCTTAAAGAAACTAACAAGATGACCATCCTTGAAGCTGTCAGGGGTGATTCAAAAGGAGACTCTGTATCAAGAACTGTCTGCCCTTGGAGGGAACATCCCAGAAAATGTGTAAACTTTGTGATCATGTTTTTCTGAGCTGTGAACACGCAGTGACTTAGGGAAAAGGTCACTCTGGCAAGGGGAGATCGCGACCACCGACTCACGGACCACCTGCCCTAAACATACCCCAGACCCAAAAGAAAGGGGCGGAGGAAGAGGAGTGAGCATGTGAAGTAATTTACATGTAAAGCAAGGGAAAATGAACCAATTGTTTAAGAATATGTAAATATGTTATGAATTATGCATGACTGTAGTGTATAACTAATTTTCTGTTCAGAAGCCGGGTGTGCACGCCAGGAGGAGAAATTTCCCGTGCCCCTGGCACTGCAATAAAGAATACCTGCTTTCTAAAACTCCAAAATGAGTCTTGGAAAGTTCAGTTTCTTTTTCAGGTATCAGCACAGCGTTAGATCCTGGTCGTTACTTCGCTCCTTCTTTGTCATCAAGCTTTCAACATCTAGTCAGAATTTCACCTTTTTTTTTTTTTTTTGGATATAGTGCAGTTTTTTTTAAATCCTGTGAAATTGGCAGTACTTCTGTTATTTCTGAATTTTCATCCAGCGATGTTTTGCTGCACATTATTTATCTTTTGGGGTTTCTTCTTTTATAGCAGGGTTACTGGGATCAGTGAACATTTTTCAGCAAGTCATCTATTTTTTACCAAAATTTGTCTCTGGGCAGTCTTTCTGTACACCACCTTCAAAAAAGTACCCTAGATGTTATTACCAAGAAACTACAGAAATATGGGATCTGCACACATGAATTTTCAGGCACCCCTGTGTGAGTTCTGATGCATTATGACAACTTCGAGCAACATACATGGACTGACATTTTCCAGTACTGCCTGAAGTAAAAGAGGGGTTGCTCTTCTGCACCTGAGTGGGCAGCAAGGTGAGAAAGAGAGAGAAATGGTGCAGGGATCTTTCTCTGTCTTGGCAAGAAAGGCCCAACAACAAACAGCTTAATAAAACAGCTGTTTCAATAAGATAGAATAAAAAGAGGAATATAGATAGTGAATACATCTTATGTCCCTTCAGACACAGGGCACCCTGCTTCTGCGCAGCATTGGAGGGATCCCAGATGGATTTTCCCCACAGCACGCTGTGCAGATTCTGTCCTTGGAGAGGTTCC